TAGAGCATCATGATCACGCTGTGGTCAGCGGCAGACTGGCTGGAGAGAACATGACTGGAGCCAGCAAACCCTATTGGCATCAGTCGATGTTCTGGTAACCACACTTCTTCAGCAAACTCCCCTTTTAATGTGTTTTAATTGTATTATTCAGCACTCACAATATGTCCTTGTCTTCAGGAGTGATCTAGGTCCAGATGTAGGATATGAAGCCATCGGTATAGTGGACAGCAGTCTGCCCACCGTGGGAGTGTTTGCTAAAGCCACAGCCAAGGACACACCAAAAGCTGCAACCGAACAATCAGGTACACAAACATTTACTGACATGTAGATAGCTAGACTACTATGGATTTGTGGATTACCACTTCCTGGGTACCATCAATAGCAGAGTACAAACAAAAACAACATTTTCTCTGTTTACAGGCACCGGAATCCGTTCCGAGAGTGAGACTGAGGCAGTTGCCGGGACATTGAAAGCAGAAACAACGGCCCCTCCACCTCCTATCCAGCAGGAGGAGGATTATGGGAAAGGAGTGATATTTTACCTGAGGGACAACGTGGTGGTTGGTATTGTACTGTGGAACGTCTTCAACAGAATGCCCATCGCAAGGAAGGTGAGCAGAGATATCATTTCCTTTTTCCATCCATCTTCATTTCAGTGTTTCTCTGAAAAAGATTATTTATTTGTTGTTTTGTCTGTGTATTTGTAGATAATCAAAGATGGAGAACAACATGCAGATCTAAATGAGGTGGCCAAGCTTTTCAACATCCACGAAGACTGAACAATCTTTGTTTTCTCTGTTTTCTGTCAACTATGTCAAGGGCACTCTGCCCAAATCCATGTGGAGTGTACTTGGGAGAAGACTCACAGACACACACACACACACACACACACACTGAACAAACACATACAGACTTACACCAGCCTGTCGTCTGCCATTTTGACCTCAAAAGTTTTTGAGATCAGGACATGCCATGCTGACTCCAGACTGCAAGGTGGCGCTGTGCCCATGGATTGGTTAAAACTGTACCACTCAATTTTCTACCCAGGGAAATTTAAACTTCTTGTTTGTATTGAAAAGTTGTGCTGTGTGTGTGTTGTGTTTTTTCTGTTGAGGTCAGTAAAAGTTTATCTCAATTCTTGAATGCATCCCTTCTAAATACCTTTTTAGAATCAGACAGGATATCCACTTTCGTTGAATATTGCAATAAAGTTGCATTTTGAAGCAAACAAAACCAGGTGAGAGACATTCCTCTGACACCTGCTAGCACACTGTTTTCTGCCTGCACGATCAAAGCAGCTGGTACAAATGAAGATTAAATAAAAGTAAGTTATTTTTAAATTTGTCTCAAGATTCATTTTAATTTTCCCTAACTTGGATTTTGTTAAAACATTTGCCAACACGGTAAATGTACAGTGATTATTTGGCCATTCCAGAGGTCAGAGGAACTTCGCAACCATTTTCAAGTGCAAGTTGAAATCTGAATGCCTGTGTGTCTGATATGGGTGACCCTGAGGCTTTTGAGATGCGTAGAGAAAGATGCAATATGTTAAGGCTCATTTAACCTGTGACTGCCTGCAAACATGTTCCCTAATGTAGCCTTGACCTATTTCCTTATGCACCAGTGCTCTGATATACAGGTCAGAGTAATAGCAAATTGCTCGTTCTATCTTTCTGCAGAGTGATAGCCAAAGAAAACATACAATTTGAGCCTTTGATGATAATGAAATATTTTGATGTATCCAAATACTATATGTAAATGTTATTTTGATGCATCAGTCACACTTTAATCAGCACTGAGGAGGGTACCATGTACAGATTATTTCTTCATCCAGGTGTTGGACATCAATATTGAGTTACAATCATTTATTTTTAAGCTTTATTTTTTTTGGCAGGAAGAAATGTCCAAAACAGAGGATCAAACATGCCCTAGATTTTAAGAGTTTCCAGATTAAGTTTTTCAGTAGAGTAGGGTAGTGATTTCAGGTTTCTTGATTAGAATCGGATCCGCTGCATTTGGGTGCAATTCAGTTCATTTCATGTCCATTTTGTGAAATTCTTTCTCTGCTTATGCTGTAAATTACACAGGGCAGTGTTTCAGACTGATTCAATTTATATATATATATATATATATATGATAAAAGAACAATGATAAGAATCATTAATTTTGAATTGGACTCCTTAGATCGCGTTTTTGGTTCACAAAAAGAACCGGTTCCTAAGTCAGTTGCTCATAAATCGCATTGTTTGTTTTCCTACGAAGACAACTTAACAGAATTTTTGTCATTATTTCGTTGTACACAGTCTTTGTGTTGATAGCATTCACATCTCAGGTAATTTGTTTACTTTGCCGTGGCGCCGAAGATTATCAGAGTGGAGCGAGATCTTTGGGCAATGAAACGAAGTGTAAAATGTTTTACACACTAACGTTACTTTGCAGTTAACAGAATTTATGAGCGAGCTTAGTTCTTTGCTAAATTATTAAATGTAATTTGTATTTTGGTAGATGGCAGTGAGTTATGTGCAAGCACCAGGATGCAGGGACAAAATCTGTCCACAAAAACAAGATCAGATGTTTCCGAGATAAACTTCCTCGGGACTGCGATATTCTCTAAAAAGCATATGAACAGGGTGGATGTCGCTGACCCGTATATACATTGGCCTACACACACATAAATGTCTGCTTCCCCGCCAGTTAATCTGGAGTTAGCCAGCAATTCTCAGTTGAGAATGCCTGAGTTCCTTTAACCTCTGTGGAGACTGACAAGCAGAAGCAGCATGTGTGTTTGTGTTGGTTCAGATTTTATGATTCATTCATTAGTAATCCTGTTTTCAGACGTGTTAATAAGTAGAAATCAGTGGAGTGGAGTGTGTGTGTGTTTATTTGGAGGGTCTTGGATAATTATGTTATCTGAGAGCGAAAATGTGTGTGTGCTGTAGTATAGGCATTTGCTCTAATTCCTCTTGAGGTCAAGACAATGTTTTAACACATCATCGACATGACCGCTGAGTGTGTGTGATTTCTGATAAAACTGGGTCTGTTATTCTTTTGTTTGGTTCACTCTGGAGTGAAGATACATTAAAATTAACACTGGCCTAGTTATTCAGTGTGACTCAACACACACACAGCTCAGTCGAATTTCTCTTTCTTTCAGTTTCTTACACCCACTCTAACTATATTCTTGTCTTATTTTTCCTCTCTCTTCTTTATTCTACATGTTTCTCCCATACAGCTAACGGTTCATGTTAAGCATTATAATGGTAATGATGGAAACATACATCTTTGCTCTTTTTTGACAAAAAGTCAACTTTTTCACACACACACACACACACACACACTGGTTTCCATTTTTTGTGGGGACTCCAGAGGCATAATGGTTTTTATACTGTACAAACCATATTTTCTATCGCCCTACACCTAAACCTACCCCTTACAGGAAACATTCTACTATTTCAGATTTTCAATACACTCCATTTGGTGTGATTTATAAGCTTGTTTCCTCATGGGGACCTAATAAATGTCCCCACACACATGCACACGTATTAAATTTGGTCCCCATAACGTAATAAATACCTGGTACACACTCACACATACATACACATACATATCTATATTTAGAGAAAACAAAAGATGTATATAAACTTATGAACTTTCTATTCTATTTATTTTATTTATTGGTTTATTTAATAGGGACCATGCATATTCATGAACATTGTTGTATAAATATACACCATGTAAATATGCCAGAATTAGTAACAATAACTACTTTTCATCTGCAGTCCCTAGGCAGGTAACATAAAACTAACATAAAGACAGCCAACAATAATACAACATTCATTCACTATAAATGAAAAGATACACATAATGGTGACATATACATTGACAACAAACAACAAAACAAACAAAAATACATGATGGAGAAGACATTGTTCATCCACCTCTATACTGCATTCAATTTAACAGTGAAAGTGTATGAGTGATAAATGTGTGACAATTAAAAATGAATACATCTCTGGTTTTCTAGAAGCCACTGTTTTAAGTGAGTTTTAAAGATGTCGCAATGGTGAAATGACAATGCCTTTTTATCAAAAAATGTTATGGCTTTCTTAAATAGAGATTCAATACTTTTAAGAGTAGCTGTGCTAGTTAATGACCAATTTGTAAAACAATACTCAATATGTGAAAAGATCATAGTATATAGGAACAACTTGGCAGCTTTAGTGTCAAGAAAGGTATTCATCAAAGAATCCTGAAAAAATGTTGTAAACATTGATAATACATTGTTTTGTTCTTAATATTAATAGATAATATAATGTTTTCAGCATTTATAATTGATTATTGAACACCAGCATATTAGAAGGAGTAAGTTAAATTTTAAAATATTAAAACTTATTTTAAATTGTAATAATATTGCATATAATCAAATAAATGCAGACTTGGGGAGCATAAGAGAAAACTATTAACTGAGACACTACATGCAATATGTGTATTTTTTTAAAATAAATTTTCACCACAGGACTATTGAAGTGAACTGCAAGACACAAAGGCGATTAAAAGTGGTGGAAAATTCAGAACAAATGGTGACTAGTCACAGGACCTAAAATAGAAATTTAAAAAATCTAAAAGTTGAAATTCTTGCTGTTAAATAACAGGAAGCACTTGTTCCGTGTCATCTACTGAATATACTCAAGAATGCAGATATCAGAAGAGGTGGATGGATGGATGTTTGTCCTCTGCTGCAGTGCGTCTTGGGATGTGGATCTGGAGCCCCTCAGGTGGAGTCGTGTCACAGTTGTTTATTCTGATAAAAGTCTTTAAACACATCTTACGCCCTGTTGCCTTCTCTCTTCTCCATGGTAGAACTGCACCGCAGGCTAGCATGTGGCCAGAGAGAAAGAAAGAGCAGAAGACCCCCTGTATATACACACACACACACACACACACACACACTAACATCTCTCAGTGTGCCCGTCTCAGGATGCAGTGCTCAGTCAGATGGCAGTGGAGGAGAGACCAGAGTGCATCGGAATGGGCGTCTTGCCCCTCCAAAACACATCTGCTTATTGAGATTTTGCCACAGGACACCAGGGAGGAGAAGAGAGCAACTGAATAGTGAAAGGATGTTTTCTCTGTTCTGGAGGATCCTGTTGGAGCTCTTACTGGTTTGGTGGATGTTTGAAGGGGTCATCAGGTGAGCTTTTCACAGGTGTGCCATCATTTCTCACTGGTGTCACCATGTGATTCATTAAAACACTTGTAGAGGCTGTTTGAAGATCTAAATAAGTATCTTCAGATGTTTATGTGTGTAATTGGTTAAAATGACCGGTTTCTTCCCTAATATTTGAATTTCCATATACTTGTTTGCTTTTGTGTGCTCAGTCATCCATATTTGGCTTGTGTGTTCAGTTCAGTAGTCTTCATGGGTGATAGGTTTATTTTAATCCCGGAGAGCGTTCTTATGTTTCTGAGTGTGTGTGTGTTTTTGCTGGCTTTTTGTATCTGGGTCTCTGAAGTATGAGCCTGACACATAGAGACAGCTCTGTCTGAAGTCATTTTCACTGTTACTGAAATTGCAGATTTATTGAAGTTCACATAATGAGATTGAACTATTGGCCTGTCTGAAACTAGACATTTCTTTAGAATGACAATAAGGGCTTGTAAGACTCACCTGAGGATGCATTCATTCTGTGTCTTATTTCCATTCCCTATACGCTGTGTGAAACAGACTTTATACTTTCACAAGTCGAATTCGCCACAGTCCTGCTCACAAACAGACAGGAAAATAGAAGAGGAACTGGACCAGAAAATGTCTCTAAATATGGAATAAGATTCAAAATGTGTGAGAGAAAGTGCTGTCCCTTTCTCTGCTTGGACTTCTACTTAACTCTTTTTTAATAAATTATTAACACCTACAACAACCTGCAATTAGGTCCAAAGCAATAATGTTGTCACTGCTATTTTATTTTTTTTACTGCAGCCACACAGAGAAACAGACAGGACGTGTCAGGTGGAGAGGGGGTTTAATAAAACATGGGACCGATGTTCTGATGTGCTCATTTAAAGCCTTATTAAAGGTTTTAAGTAAACTCCTCAGGTATTTTGTTAGCAACCAGATTTCCCTCTACGATTCGTTTTTCAATTTGGCATACATTATTGCCAAAGCATTCAGTCAATAATGGAAGAATAATAGCAGCAGTGAATGTTAAAATGAACTGAAGGAGCTCATAGAGAGCATACCTATTAATAAACCATGCACCATGCAATAGTCCAAAAGTCCATGTAATTCTGGTCATTTAAAATCCCAATTTTAATTGAAGTTTCTGAAGACAGAAATGAAGAGATGAATGCAAAGAGTGTCATTTGTTCAGTCTAAATCGTGGAGTGAAATCTGGTTGCTAACAAATCCAGAATATAAACGAAAAGTTTAAGATTATCGAAAAATGCAAAAGCAAAGCATATTCATTAGTAGTCTTTGACTTTGGACCCCACTGTAAAACAAAAACAGCTCTCTAATATGATGATCTGTTGGAGGAGGGTGCAGATCTGATGTACTGATGTGTATTTTTTTAACCTCTCTCAGGTGTGTGTTTAGTAAGGAGCTGAAATCGCCCAGCAGCATGGTGAAGCCCATGTCACCATCTGATTTTCTGGATAAATTAATGGGAAAAACATCTGGATATGATGCTCGGATCAGGCCCAACTTTAAAGGTTTGAATTCAACTCAAATCTGCTCTAGCGTAATTTATAGTTTTAATTTCTATTTGAGAAAATGGGATTTCTCTTAAAATGTGAGTATAGCAAGCGATGAGTACATCAAAGAACTGTGAAATGCTCATCTTTATGCAAATGAGAGGCAAAAAATAGTCACTGACAGCCGATTTCTATCATACACTACCGTTCAAAAGTTTACAGTCAGTAAGATTTTTGAATGTTTTTAATATTGTCAAATATTAATTGCAATTTCAAATAACCATTTTCAGTTTATTTCTGTGACGGCAAAGAATGACTAAGCCGTTACTTCAGTCTTCAGTGTCACATGATTCTTCCGAAATCATTCTAATATGCTCAAAAATCATTTATTATTATCATCACAGTTTAAAAAAAGGGTTGTGCTGATTAATACTTTTGTGAAAACGATGATATATTTTTCAGGATTCTTTAAGAAATTTTAAAATTAAATTAAATTAAATGAATTGAATAAAAATTAAATTAAAATGAAAGAAAATTAGAGAGCATTAATTTGAAATAAAAATACGTTGTAACATGTCTTTGCTGTCATTTTTGATCAGTTGAATGCATTTCAAAACAATAATCTTATTGACCCCCAATTTTTTGATTAAATCAACACTATATGTCTACACTGGACATTTGGGAACCAAATTAGCATTTTTCCATATATGATGATTTTATCAACTGTAGAGTAAAAGAAATCATAGACCATACCAAAGACATCCACTCTCAGTTTTACAGACACTCCTCCAAAGCAGCAGCCCTCGAGTATTTTGAGCAGGTTTCTTCTCCACCAGTGGACATGTCAAGAACAGAAATGTCATTTTTAGGTGAACTATTCTTATATCCTCACCAGTAATTCTCTCACCATTTTATACTTTTGCAAAGCTGTGTTAGCCTGGAATTCCTTCTGCTGAATCCTGCTGTCAGACAGACATACGTGAGGCTGGAACTCCAGGATTTTAGGAGTCTGTCTTCTACTGTCTTCCTCTCATTGCTCCACTCATTCTCACTCTCTTCTGTTACTTTCTTTCAATGATATCTTGGTCATTTTTAAACATCATATAAAGCAACACAGAAGTAAGTAAAAACTGCTGTTGCAGCTTAATCTCTTTTACATAGATTGTTTTGGCAAGAACTCTGCGAAAATGTGATGCGGTCAGCAAAGAATGTATTTACATTCTCTGTGAGCCACACATGTGAAAAAGTGCTGTGGCCCGTAAACACAGAGCAACATAAGATCTCATTAAACTATGTGACCCCCCCATGGGTTCTCCAGTCTATTTTTTACTGTCCCCACCTTACACAGACTCCCAGTGACCATTCAACAAGAGAAACACACAGGCGAAAAGGTACGAAAACCAACAGAATTCAATGATATCTTGGTCATTTTTAAACATCATATAAAGCAACACAGAAGTAAGTAAAAACTGCTGTTGCAGCTTAATCTCTTTTACATAGATTGTTTTGGCAAGAACTCTGCGAAAATGTGATGCGGTCAGCAAAGAATGTATTTAAATTCTCTGTGAGCCACACATGTGAAAAAGTGCTGTGGCCCATAAACACAGAGCAACATAAGATCTTATTAAACTATGTGACCCCCCCATGGGTTCTCCAGTCTATTTTTTACTGTCCCCACCTTACACAGACTCCCAGTGACCATTCAACAAGAGAAACCCACAGGCGTTCAGGTACGAAAACCAACAGAATACGAGACAGAATTTCAGCCCCAGACGATGAGAATGATTTCAGAAACATGCAGGATACGGCTGTCAGTTCACGCTAGATTTCTCTCCGTAAAAAGTGTTACAACAGCCTCTGTGAGGATTTGTGAGGGGCAGTTTCTCCGCTGACATCAGGGCCATTTAGTTTGCTATGCTGTCTGCTCGAGTACATGTTAACCCACAGACCTAAATAAGTCTTTTTCTCTCATTCTCTTACTTATGTTTTTTTAAAACTGGAATTTCTTTTTTTTAGTTATACTTTTTCTTTCCTCCTTCCTCTCTTTTTCTCTCATGATCTCTTGCGCTCTCTCTGTAGGCGTCTCTGAGCTCGTGTATATTTCATATCTGTTCTACATCTCAGAGATGTGGCTGTCAGCATGTGTGGGGGGAAATGTCCCCACTGATAAGCTATATACGTATATCACTAATGTCATGAACGTTAAATCAATAAGTTAAATGCTGCAATTAAATATTTACAGAGCAACTCAATGCTAATTAAACATCGGCTCATGCAGCTCAGTCAGCTGTATGTTCATGAAAATGCTTTATTTTATCATTTGTAATTTGATTTAACAGCCTTGGACAACCTCTTCAGTGTTTTGTCTTGGAAACTATCTGTTGCTATTTGCTGCTTGTGAATTTCCTTTTATTCAAGACACTGAAGCTGACACAACAAGTCAGTTCTGTGTGAATTATTGATCTAATCTAATATGTTAAAATTGTGGACGCAGAGGTTAGGTTTTGACATTTTTAGGCTAGTTTAAGTTGTTAAGAAATATGCTAATGTTTCTTATTATGTTGTTCTTTCATTTTTCAGGTCCTCCTGTAAATGTCACTTGCAACATTTTTATCAACAGTTTTGGTTCCATCACAGAGACCACCATGGTAAACACACACACACACACACACACATGCACACGTATTAAACATATACTCACATCTTCTAGGGAGAACCTGTCAGTATGTATTAGACTAAAAACCATCAAAATTACACACTGGCAGCATTACACTGGTTTAGAGATTGCATTAGCCCTGCTATGAATTATGAAAACACTGCATGAATATGGGGAATCTACACACACACACACACACACACACACACACACACGGTTTACAGGGACTCTCCATGTTTTTTTTACTGTACAAACTGTATTTTCAATCACCCTACACCAACCCTACACCTAAACCTACCACTCGCAGAAAACTTTCTGCATTTTTAGATTTTCAAAAAACACCATTTAGTATGCGTTTTTTAAGACTTTTGAATTATGGGGACAGAGGAAGTGTCCTCATAAACCACTTTCACATTGTAATACCTATGTCATAACCATGTCATTATACATTATACAAATAATTTTACATATATATATATATATATATATACATGGGAAGGATGCCTAAAAAGCTAATCAGAAATATGTTTGGTCTTGAATGTACCACAGTACACCTTTCACAATAGAGTTAAAATATTCAGAATCAAGCCTGAACATAATAATCAGACTATATTTGGACCAGAATCAGACTCAGTTTTATGAATGATAGAGTCTTAAAGCTATTAATAAGAAGTTAGCAACTGACATTTTAGACACAATATGGCAACCATAATTAACAAAGACAAGTGGAGTGATATGGAAAGTTCCAGTGCTGTTATATGAATTAAATCCAATTTGTCATTCATAACTAACTAACTAACTAACTAACTAAATAGTAGACTGGAAATAATTGTTGTACATTAACATCTGTCATAATTTTAAAACATCTGTGAAGTTTTACCGAATGTATTTGACTCAGCTGCTGTGAATGTGATCTGATTTTTTTTTTCTGAACACTAACTCATCAGGATTATCGGCTGAACGTTTTTCTACGGCAGCAGTGGAATGACCCACGGCTGGCTTATAAAGAGTATCCAGATGATTCTCTGGATCTGGACCCATCCATGCTGGACTCCATCTGGAAGCCAGACTTGTTCTTTGCCAATGAGAAAGGTGCCAACTTTCACGAGGTCACCACGGACAACAAGCTACTGAGGATTTTCCAGAATGGAAATGTGCTGTATAGCATCAGGTTTGATATCACCCCTATAGATTACTTTAATCATTCCAAATGAATACATGAATGATAATCAGAAATGTCTCTCTCTCTCTTACACACACACACAGACTCACTCTGATTCTGTCATGTCCTATGGATCTGAAGAATTTTCCAATGGACATACAGACCTGTACTATGCAGTTAGAGAGCTGTAAGACTGAACATCATCAACTAATCTAATTTTTTAATCTAATTTCTCTTTTATATGCTCATTATTGTCTGTCTTTCTTTCTCTAGTTGGCTATACTATGAATGATCTGATATTTCAGTGGTTGGATGAAGGCCCAGTGCAGGTGGCTGATGACCTTACGCTGCCCCAGTTTGTCCTGAAAGAGGAGAAAGACCTGGGATACTGTACAAAACACTACAACACTGGTATGCTTTTGTAATTTCACCAGCATCATTTTTTTTTGATTTTCATATAAGCAGTCAAACATTTCATAAGTGGTTAGATAATGAATGTTACGAGGAATAATAATGTAAAATAATAATGTCAAAGAGATTTACATTTTCTAAAGAAAATGTAATTGATGCTTGCCTGTACAAAACTTGCCATTATAATAGGATGTTGCTATGCAGTTAGGGAATAGGGAATAGCGAAGTCGTGGCCTAATGGTTAGAGAATCGGACTTGTAACCCAAAGGTTGCGGGTTCGAGTCTCGTACCGGCAGGGATTGTAGTGGGGGGGGTGAATGTACAGCGCTCTCTTCCACCTTCAATACCACGACTGAGGTGCCCTTGAGCAAGGCACCAAACCCCCAACTGCTCCCCGGGCGCCGCAGCATAAATGGCTGCCCACTGCTCCGGGTGTGTGTTCACGGTGTGTGTGTTCACTGCTGTGTGTGTGCACTTTGGATGGGTTAAATGCAGAGCACTAATTCCGAGTATGGGTCACCATACTTGGCCACATGTGACGTCAGTTGCTAAGGTAGAACAATTCTATATAAAACAATAGTTCAGTTCAAGAATAATTTATGCAATTTTATATTATTTATTTGAAAGAATTAAAAGAGCAGTTTTATGTCTATCCTTGTATTGCTGAACTGGTTGAGGCTGATATGAGATTTAGAAAGTAATTAGTAATAAGTAATGCAATACATTTTAGAGAGAGTAATTAGTACAGTAATCTAATTACACTGCTGAAGATGTAATTAGGAGCTAGTAATTACTTACTTTTTTAGAGTAACTTACCCAACACTGCTTACAACATTGATATGCAGCTGCTATGGTGTTTTGGTTGGTTTCCAGTGGTTGTCAGGGGGTTGCTATGTGTTGCTCAGTTGTTCGAAGAGGTTCTTAGAATGTTGCTATGCAGTAGCTAGGGTGTTTGGAGTGGTTGCCAGGGTGTTTGCTAATGTGTTCTTTGTGGTTGTTATCACATTGCTATGCAGTTGCCAGGGGGTTGCCATGTGTTTTGTTAGTATAAGCAGTTGTAAATGTCGTTCATTTATTTTTGCTGGCTAACATGATACCATGTTTCACCCAGGTAAATTCACCTGTATAGAGGTGAAATTTCATCTAGAGAGGCAGATGGGTTACTACCTGATCCAGATGTATATTCCCAGCCTCTTAACAGTTATCTTGTCATGGGTCTCCTTCTGGATCAACATGGATGCCGCCCCGGCCCGTGTCGGTCTGGGCATCACTACAGTTCTCACAATGACAACACAGAGCTCTGGATCCAGAGCATCCCTGCCTAAGGTAGGAAAGAAGATCTATCCATCCATTTGTCCACTTTCAGTCATTATTTAATCACCCTGATGTTGTTCCAAACCTGTATGACCTATTAAAATGGTTTTCTCTGATAATCGACAGCATTTGACAGATGCTAAACTTCATTGAATCCAGAATATTCCTTTAAAATAGAGACTGTCTGTGCATGCGTACAGGTGTCCTATGTGAAGGCCATTGACATCTGGATGGCAGTGTGCTTGCTGTTTGTCTTTGCTGCTTTGCTGGAGTATGCAGCAGTTAACTTTGTCTCTCGGCAACACAAAGAATTCTTCAGACTGAGGAGAAAACTGTGGGAGGAGCAACGCTACAGAGTTGTGAGTGGCAGTCTGAAACTCTCCTTTGTTATACACTCGCGACATGCGTTGAGTGCCCTTAAGATACTGTACAACCACTGAGTCGCTTTGATGTTTCATGATAGCAGCCTGCTGGCCCTCTCCAGAGCAGAGAGGGAAGGTCAGTGATGGCATAAATCCATGTCATGAATATTGCACAAAGTAATGCTATTCTTTCCACACAAAAATGTAGGACAACACGAATGGGAAGAAAGTGAAGGAGCTGCAGGATTTTAAATCTGGAAAATGTCTCAGTGAAGCAGAATACTAAATGTTTTGCTGAACTGATTGAGCATTATTATTAAATTAGCATAAGCATTTTTTTTATTTCTCCTTTACCAAATGGAAATGCTAAAATAGTAATTGTATTCAAACAGGTTTTCTGAACCTTAATCTACGATTGGTTGGCAAGACAGATAGCCCCATCCAAAGCTCACGCCATTGGTTGATCCAGTGTTGTTGGGTCAAGCTAGTCAGTGTGCTCAGATAAACAAAGTAATGTTCTGAAAGCACCACAGAGCCAGAGTTTATACTTTTGGGGGAATTTAACCTACAAATGGGTTCCTTATACTTTCTAAATATTAAACTGTCTCATTATTAAGAAGACAGTCATGAAGCCTGTCAAGAACATATTTGTGTCATATTTTACCCTAAAATGAAAAAAAGAAAATACATTTTTCAGTTCAGCAAATACTATCATTCTGTGCAAATATAAGTAATGTACTCACACTACCATTTAAGTAAGATTTTTTAAAAGAAATTAAACATTTTATTCCACAAACATGCATTAAATTGATCAAAAGTTACGGAACAATCATGTTTTTCATAAAAATGTTAAAAGCATAGATTTCTAGAAGGAAACATAGAAGGTTTATGTGACACTGAAGACCGTATTAATGTATTTTTTATCAAATAAATGTAGTTTTGATGAGCATAATATACTTCTTTCAAAAACATTTTAAAAATCTTACCAACACCAACTTTTGAACAGTAGTGTATATATTTTATTTGAGTAAATGTAATATCTATTTTTCTTTTTTAAATATGTGTTCTATTAAAAAATACAAACAAACCCTTAAGAAAAACATCCAGATGCATTATAATGAGAATAGTGGTGGGGTAGTTGTGCTTATCATGGAAATTTCGCAATGCACTTTTAATGGTCCTAAAAATAGGTTTCATTTTCTTTATATAACACGTAATTTCTTGCTTTGTCTTTTGAGGTATAATATGACCCAGACATGCTCTTTGTCTGCCTGGAATAGAAGGCTATTCCTAGACTCTTTTCAGGAGTTTTTGTCAGCAGAAACTGCATTTCCTTTTCTTTGTTACTTTGCTCTTAACCAGCTAGTTGAGAGAAATCGTGGCTTTCTTTTGGACACAGCAGACACTGCCCTGCCACAAAGAGCAGAGAGAATAAATATTACACTATCCTGTCCTTTTCTATTCCTCCTCCATCTCCCCTCTATCGCCCTGCAGGCAGGCTGTGTGTGTGTGTGTGACCCAGTGTGTGAGTTGGTGGCGCTGTGCCCCCTCATTTCACACAGAGACAGAGATATATATTCAAAATATCACCAAAAATAGGTAACCTGGAAAAAGGGAAGACTGAGGAAAGCCAAAGAAAGCTGGCACAAAAAAGGAGGACAAAGGCAAAGAAAGCCGCTGAAATTGACAAAACATATTTAGAATAAAAAAACTGTGTAGAAAATACATGTATCTTAGAGAGAAAATGCATTGTTTAAAATTAAATTCCAGCTAAATAAAACAAAAATAAAAATTAAGAACGTTTTGTTAACATTCCCATTAAGTTATCAAAATTTCTGAATGTTCTCTGAACAAATGTTTTTTTTTCTTTGTTAAGGAACATTCCATTTTATCATTTTGCAAACATTATGGAAACATTACTTTTGAATGCTCTCTGAACATTCTGAAACAAGTTGAAACATTACACACATTTTATCTAAGATGTTTCAGAAAAAAAAAAACCTTCCATGAATGATGTATTAATGTATAAGTATTTGTGGTAACATTTGAGAGCCTTATTAAAGAACCATTTAAAATGATAATTCTATTAACATTACTGGAAGAATATTTGTTCATAACTGAGAAAACCTTGCCAGAATATTAGCCAAATTCCTGAGAATGTTCCCTGTTAGATGGGATGGTTCAGCGTGGAATCTGCTCACTGGTTTAGTTATGTCTTGACAAATTAAAGACATTACAGTAGAAATGTGCATGCCCACTAGAGATTTTTAAGGTACATTGTGACCCCGTTTCAGATCTGTAATGCATGGTTACAGAGAAGCCGGGGAGGTCTGTTGAGGAGTGCACAGGAAGAGAATATTTTATTGTTTGAATAAATGATGACTCAGTTTTTAAATAAGTGTCTTTGTATTGTCTTCAGGCATCTGGTCAGGCTGGAGGAGCAGAGATGAAGAACAAAAGCAACAACATCACTGGGAGTACGCCAAGCAGAAGCACACAACGCCAGTGCAGTGCCTGTGCACGGGTATATGCACCCACAAATTAAATATTTACACATGAACATTCTTGGCTTAGAAATATTTGATTCTGATTCATGACATTTTTTATAATGACCGCTAACTGTATATTTGACAGTTGACTTTTGTGTCTCTCATATCACATTGATGGCTTACCCCTTTCATAAAAATGCAAGTTTGATAACTAATTGGTGATCTTGCCACACATAACTCTACATAATTAATAAATGTCATTAATCTTTGGTAGGTTATTGTTTTCCAGTTAAAACAATAAAACAAAAACATCACTAAGAGACAGAAAGAGCTGGATGAGAGAGAAATTAAAATGACATTTAACATTTTTTAAAAGTGACATTTAAAATAGACATGTTACAAAGCATCTAAGCATGTTAGCTAAGTAGCCTATAGAAAATGTGATTCGGATTGCCTATTAATATATACTTAAAAATATTAAAATATGTTCAAATATATTTCAATTAAATCAATTTAATTAACACATTTTCTTAGAGGACACTTTCAGCTAATCTACAAGATAAATATTTCAACTCAAATCAATATAGCATGTCCATATGTTTATTTCTTTGATAAATTATAATTTATTCAAGGCTCCTTTATTTTGTGGTAATGACTGACTGACTGTTTTCAACACTGATGATAAAAAGAAATCAGCATTTTAGAATGATTTCTGAAGGATCATATCCATCCCAGGAAAAAAATGACATTTTAAAACATATTAAATATATATATTTTTAAATGTTATTTCACAGGATTACTGTTTTTACTGCATTTTGGATCAAATAATTGCAGCCATGGTGAACATAAGAGACTTCTTAATATCTTACCGACCCCAAACATTTGAACGGTAGTGTATATTCATATATTTTGTTGTGATGTTTTTCTTTAGGAAGAGCAGTTAGCCTCACAGAATCAGGACTTGTACTTCACAGGATACGGGATGGACAGCTGTCTGTCTGGGGATGGGCCTCTCTCTGAGGCTGCTGCCATGTTTGCGGGCCTGCCACCTGGCCATGTCCTGTTTGAGATCCGCCGGCGCTTCGTGGAACGAGCAAAGCGGATTGACACCATCTCACGAGCCGTCTTCCCTCTCAGCTTCCTCGTTTTCAACGTGTTCTACTGGATCACGTACAAAGTGCTTAGAAATGAGGACATTCACCCTGCCCTGCAACCCTGACTCCCTTAAAAGACTTTCCCAGCATCCCATTTTGTGAGCCAGTTTAAATCCAATGTGAGGATGAGATCCCGTATCAAGGACATTTAAAATGAAACCGGTTGAGGAAAAGGTACAACACGTTCTCTCTGCATGAGTGAACATATATGCATGGATCTAAAAAGACCACTTTTACAAAGATCTAAGAAAACTACTTTGTTTATATGCAGAATGGCTGAATCACTCCTGACCTTTGGCCTCCTAAGATGCAAGTCTTTTCGTTTTTATGTTGTAAATACTTTTTGCACTGAGCACATTTGTTCCTGTCTGTTATCAAAAATAAAAGTTATAATCAAATTCTCCTTCAGGGTTGATTTTTGAGGAAGACACTGAATATATATTAATTGATTAATACCTCCTTTATCTATAAAAAAAAAAGAACCAACTCAAGAGACCATCACATTTTTAGCACAAAGGGTTTGTTTGGTAGCTATTTTCTAGTCATGCATGTATAGATATATTGACATAAATGGGGATGCACTGATATCTCAAAAGTTAACATTTTAGTTACATTTATCACATTGGCTATTAAAACTGACAATGTAATCATAAATCTTACTTTAACTCAAATCAGTCTAAAAATGTATTTTTCAGGATAATCTAATGTAAAGTGTGCACTTTCTAGTCAAAAAACATGTCTCCTCCTTGTTCTGTCCCTGACTACATACAAAACTGAGTAAGAGTCTAAGTAGATTCATTCTTCCACTGCGGGATGCATAATTCACTTTACCCCAACAGCGGCACATGACACATAACGAATGTATTAAAGCAATATTTTTGTATTTATGGAAGCAAAGCTGCCATTTTAGTCCCCTAATTTTAATGTACAAATGTACGGAAAAATCTATTAACCTGTTAACCCGCACCAGCCCAAGGCGTGTTTAGGCGTTTTAGGCGTGTTTATTACCTTTGTTTTAAAACAATATTCAATCAACTATCATAAACTATATATC